AATAGTCTCCGTACTTTGAAATATCGTCATTCGATTCTGTTCGTATTCTAATCTCATATTATCAATTGTATGCCATAATATGAGAAGTAATAAGTTTCTTCGAAAGTCACGAATATAAAAATAGATCCTCGACCTGGCCAAGTATTACCACAAAAATTGTCTCTATCTCTGAGTAAGCAGATCGGTGTAAATCAAGCCGGTATCGTGCGCGGTGTGTTGCATACGTTGCAACCCGATTACGTAATCCACGAGATCGTGACTCGCACTGGCCGCCTCCATTAATGCATACGCTCTGTGTACTAGATGTACGGTATATGTAAGTACAATAACCTGACGCCAAGTGTGTATATATTTAAATTGAATTTACACGCTTCAGCATCCAATGATTCATCCACTAATTCCTTCTATAAGTCCCCTAGACTAGAAGATTTGTCAAAGCAGCTGCTATCAATTTTTCACAGTACCTATTGGATCTGAATTACTGTATGAATAATAAGTATTATGAATATCGTACATATATAAGTGTGTTAACGTGAGATTAAGCGACAGATGAAGAAATAACTTCAATTATTTATCCATTACGGTTTCTACTTTTGCATACGTGTCCATGTATACAAATTCTTTATGCACTGTAGATAAACGATAAATTCTTAAGATGTAAACCTATCATAGAATCGTTTTAGAATTACATATTTCTCAATAGGGCTCAGTTGAATAATTATTATTGAATGGTAAAGTAGATACAAGCACGAGGCTCTTTCAGTATTTAACCTCGGTTCTTGGAATAGCGTTTAAGGGCACGCCCGCATCGCTCCTGATTTATACGTGGGCGGATTCGAGCCGAGTTCGCGAGCTGAGACTCGGCTAAGCGAGAATTCGTCGCCCACGCTGATTGAAAGTACATCCCTCCTTGTCGAAGTTCATCCTCCAAGAAATACGCACACTCACGGTTACACGCGTGTGCCATTCTTACCGAGAACGGGAGAGAGAGAGAGAGAGAGAGAGAGAAATGGATTTTTCTCGTTCAAGAGAACTCGAGATGCGAGTTCTATGACATTGACACCGTGTTGTTTCCTTCGACGCAGATCCAATCCTGAATTTCAATTAGATTCGTTTCATTGATAGAGGGAATTCCTTGAACTTCTCTCGGTTACTAGGAAAACTCTAATGTGGGATTATGGTTGTCTTGGAACTCGTGAGTCAGGAACGAGTTAACTAAAATTTAGATTGAAAATACAGATATCCTGGAAGAGTTCATATCTTCTGATATTCACTGTATGTTACTTACATTAAATGTTCCAGTCTCTTTTATTGCTATTTTTCCTTCTCTAAACATGCTTGGACGATTGTATAAGTGAACCTGAACGGCTGCATAACTAATTAGTTCAATGTTACTTTAGGTACAAGACAGATGTCTAAGAATAGAAATTGTTTGAAATAATGTTGGTACCGTCATAAAACCCTCAGTGTTCGTAGCACTTCTCTGCTACGTGAAAGTATGTACGCGTCTGTTAATAAAACGAATATGCACTTTAAAGGATAACTATCGCGACATATGCAATCAGCGTTTCTCATCGCTTCCACGTTTCCTCTCGACACCCAGCGTGGTCTCTGTTAAGGGAAGATCGCGTTTACGTGAACCCACGCAACGCGTCCTGTTTCTTGTATCAATGGAGACGCGTTTGCGAAATCACCGTTGGCAACGCGTGCGATGGAACGCACCCGCGCATCGTCCATCCACTATCTCCGGTCCATCGATTGTACACCGCGCATTTATTATCGCGTTATCGCCCGGCCGCGTGTAACTCTCCGCGTAATCGTTCATTCGCGTCGCGATGATAATCGGCTTTGGTATTCGTTAATGACTCGTTGAGCCGCGTGCTTCAACCTCGCTCGGGAAGCGCGCACAGTCAAGAGAATTGTCAAGTTAAAAGCTTTAAAATTGTTAATTATGAATTGTGTACTTGTATTTGAAAGAGCGCTGATACAAGAGTAATCAATTACCCTCACAACAACGGGACTGTATTGGGTTGGCAACTAAATAATTGCGGAGTTTGTCGATAGATTTCTTATTTAAAATCCGCAATCATTTAATTGCCAACCCAATATTTCTACCAAAAACTGTTTACTCCTCTGAGACTGAATCTTTGGTTGATGTGACTATTTGTTTATTACATGAACGATACTTTTCGACCACGTGTGTCTTCTATTGCAAATGCACGATTTTTGGCGCAACGTGCCAATCCATTTATCGCGTCGGCAATTAAATCGGAGGCCAGTCGGAGAGAACAACACAGAAACGGATCCTCTGGGGGAAACCTTTGACACGCCGTGCAAAGTGAACTTTCGTGTTATCCCGGCTGGAAGAATACGCCGCAGATAAGGATAGAACGAACGAGGGAGGGGGGACGGCGAAAAAGGAGGCAACCTTTAAGGGAGCGAAAATATCGCGGAGACCCTTTATACCAGCTCGCGGTGTAAAACGCGACCCGAACTACTAGAGAGGAAACACCACCCGCGCGCATCCTGCTTAACCATTGCCGGAAACCACTTCGGCTTGGATAATTTCACACGAGTTGGCGAAACGATCCAACGCTTGCACGTGCAACTAACGCACGTGCAATAAACAACCAAAGGAAAAAATCAAGTGCAGGGTTTGGTGTGATCGCCTTTAATTCAATCCGTACGTCCCCGACATTATTTCTGGTTCTTACCTTAGAATTGTATCCATTTCAGCCTTAAACTATGAATGCACTGAACATTCATTGAAATATTACAAAATCCAGTTGTTTCATATATATTAGAAATCAATCAATATTAATTTATAGTGTGTTCCAAGGGATTAAAGTGGGCTTTTTTAGATCGAGTGTCGAATTTGTAGTAAGAAAAAAAAATAGATTTCTGTTTTTTAATCTGGTCCCCCTAAAGGAAATTAACATATGTGTTAGAGCTGGCCAGGAATCATTGTCCCAAGCTGTACATATCATATTCTCTGTTCAGTATTTCAATTTCCATCAGACTTTATCAAGTTGAAAATAATGAAAACTCATTCAGTTCTAATGTTCATATTCGTTTTCGTCGGAATCATTAATGTCGAACTTGGAATAAGTGTGCGCGATAAATCACAGGCTCGGGAATGAACGTATGTTTAAAAGTCGATTAACGTGACCCCAGCATCGTATGAAGTACACACGCGACTAATGCACATAATGTCTATCGAAATAACTGTTTAACACACATAAGAAGCCCCAAATTTCATATACTATATATGAACACGTGTGCAAATTACGAATGCTTGAGCTACAATCTAATTAATTGTAAAATTAATTTCTGCAAAAGTTCTTGACAAAAGATTTTCGTCTCGGTATATATACGTGCAGTTTGTTAAGAGTCAAGAGCCCTTTGTAATATGAGATGAGGTCAAATGAGAACGCATTTTGCAACGTGTAATAAAATACGATTTAATTTGTAATTAATAGCAGGACATAGAAAAAAAGAGGATGTTAAGAGAATAAAGGTTGTGACGTAAGGATTAGGATTGTTTATGTCGTCGCGTGGGACGCGGAAACTCGTTCGTAACGTTTATAAATGTCATTTTAATGGCATACATTTCTCGTGTTAGCCACCAACTCAACACGCAACCGCGTATACTAAAACGTTTACGTTAATATTTTAGTCTAATCCACGATTTACAAATTGGCTAGGATTTAGAAAAATTATGCTGTTCTTTATCCGTTTATCGTGAGTTCTATAAAAGATTCATCGATAACATATTTACGAACAAGACAAAATTTGTATGCAAACATCTTAAAAACTGAGATCGAACCCTGGTTTTTAAAAAATTTATCAGAATGTTTATTTGTAATATCTGACGATCATAAAACTAAGAACGTATGGTTAGTGCAAGTTCGCCAGAATTTTTTTTACTCAGCGTCGAATTTAAATATTGAAGCCGGGATCACTGGCCTGGTCAGATGATTCAATCCGCTTTGAGAAAGACGAAGGGGGGTGATCGACACGTGCAACGAACAACTCCGTTGTCGTCGACGAAGAGCAAATCGCGACGTAACGTCTGCAGACAAGACGGATGAGATCAGTTAAACCAAACTGCCTTCGTGACAAATCCTCCGTTTCCTCTGTCGGTTCGCGGGCTCCGTTTCACTGTCGTTGACGCGCTTCGCGTACACGTACACGTATCGCATGACAACGCAATTTCAATGCAGACTACCATCGTCTCATTTAGCGCGAATCCTCAGAATTTCCGTCCATCGTTCAGTACGATTAGCAGACAAGATTAACACGCTCGCACGAAGCAACTAAGAAATTTCAAAGCATAAACTAGCATATTTTAATACTTAAATTTCGCCTCTCTTCGTACGTTCACCAACTCGAAACAACTCTGATGATCGAGACTTGGGATAAGATAAGAGTAGATAAAAAAGAGAAGAGAAGATGAAAAACAATTGAAATGAATTATATTCAAAATTATTTTTAACATTGTGAACAAATTCAGAATGATTCGGTAACTGAGGAACAGATGATGGTAGTTTTAAGAAAAATGGGATTCTGGTGTGTATTTGCTCAGCGCAATGTCGTAACCGACGAAACTGTTTCCTCTTCTCGCACAATAATCTACATCGGGGGGAGAAATGGCTCTAATTGTTTCAATTCCAGAGTAAATTGCATCGCCAGTAGAAAGCCGCTGTTTGAATTACGCCTTCCTTCCTGCTTTGTCCGCGAAATTAATTCGCGCTCGCGCTAATAACGGAGCGCTACCGTGCAAATTGTCGCGAATGTGAAGATACAATGGATGACGGCCTTACGTCATCGGAAGAAACGTTGCACCACTTTCTTTCATTTAACTAACAGACGAACTCTCATGTAACATAATCGTAGATTGCAATTATCATGTGCCAATGCATCCGATAAATTAAATATTATAACTGGAATTTGAACGAACATTTTCTGGTATTAATCAGAATTTTTCTGAATTGTTCCAGGTTTTGTGTCGTGCTCGCCTAGTCCATGCAAGAACAGCGGAGTCTGCGTGTCGTCGCCGCGCGGCGAGTCGCATTGCCAGTAAGTCACATTCTCACCGCACGTCTAATTGCTTTATTGCGATATACGTTTTACGGTTCTATCAATCTATCAATCGTTCCACCGTTTAACGCGCTTATTCGACTTGGAACGATGTGCCGAATCGCGTTGTCCGCCAACTATCTGGCAACAGAAAAAGCGAAGTCGAGAGAACCGAACGTCTCGTAGCCTCCCACGCGAAAAAGATGAGGAACAGGGAAAACGGCGGGTAAAAGATAGACAAATCGAATAAGCGTCAAGCGTATAACTGTTGAATTCATATCTCTTGCATCGAAATTCGCATTCTTGATTGGTGTTTAATTATGTAACTGTAGACGTCCAAGCAAATTCACGATCTTACAGATAAACTCATGGATCCTATATTCATTGGATAGTTGGAAAAGTATTAAGAGATTTTTGTCACTAGATGTTGTTTGATGTCGTATATCGGGCAACACTAATCAGATTGCGTCATATTGATGCGTGTTTAAGAGGTGACATTTCAGTCTACAATTTTTGTGAAGACAGTTTTGTATTTTGTCCATCATATCAGAAGTAATATTAGTGTGAAAATGAGTTCTATTCCGATGGAATTATAGTTCTACCTCAAAAATGTCAAAAGTTCATAGATAATAATGGCCAATATAATACTTGAACAAAATTCATTTTTAATAGAAGAAACATTTAATAAAAAAACCTCGTCAGTCGACGTGCAGCGTCAACAGTGTGCATTTTTTTTTATATTTAGTTCAATCACAAATGTTTGTCTATTAATTGTTGTTAAAAGGTAATAAGGAAAAGTGAGACGCACACGTGTGCAGTAGTTTCGTTGTAAAACAGTCAGTGAAACAGATAATTTACGAAAAATCAGCCACGCCGAACGGCTTTTGCACTTCCGTTGATGGCGGACGTAAATTAATAAATTTCAGTAATACCGAGAATGAGAATGGCGTGGGACGGGACGTCGGAGACGAAATGGGACGGAATGGAACTTGATGGGCCAGGGATCCGGTAATAGTCGTCAGTCGTGACCCGGCGTCGAATCTAAATTGCCTTTATCTCGTGGAACCTCTCGCGGATTTCGCTCTTTTGTACCGGTCGCTCCTCGACACCTCGCGTCCGCTTCGACGCGTTCGACCCTCTTAACGTCCGTCGATGTATGCAAATGGTAGTCAATTTTCGGGAACCCGCCGATCGAGAATATCGAGCGAAACGCTCAATCCTTAAATTGACCAAAATACGCGGACGTTTTATCATCTCTTATGCTTATTTAAGACCCCGGTTGGATAGCCGGTGGCTATCGATAGGAAAATATTGACAATTAATTTATTTTTGTATGCAAATCGAGGCGGATGTAACAGAACGTCTGTTGAATTTTTTAATATCCATTCCTCTGCAACGTTATGCCTCTATGCTCGTGCAAACCACTTTATGCTCTATTTCAATCTAACCCAAATGTGAGTGTTTATTCTTCGGAGCTATCGGAGATCGTTTGCGATTCGATTGAAGTATTAAAATACTATGGAAAATCGTTTGATGCTTAGGCTTAGGATGATCTTTTTTAAACTTGTACTCGTTAAATCGCGAGCTCTTTGTCAAGATACGATCGTGCTCGTTTTCTACTGCACAGGAATATCAAATCATTAGACGTTCTATGATTGATTCTAATGTTGTGCGCTGTAGTTGCCATAAGTAGCACGCGAAATAAATGAACTACAGCCTCGGTGAAATTCGATTAATCTTAAGCCTGAACCCTGTAACTTCCCTCGTCGTCAAGCTTCTACATATGGTAGCGTACAGCGAATCAGTGTGGTAGCAGCCTACCCGAGATATTAGGTTTAATTGCGACTTCGAGATGGTGTTCTGCACCCGTAACCTTGGGCTCTGTAATCCTTAAGCCTTACCTTTCCGGTTTCTCTACTCTACCGTTTCCACTCATACCTTCTACTCTTATTTCATCTCCCGTTTGATTATCCTCTTATCTTAGAACTCTCTGCCGACATGCGTACCGCCTACGAACCTGATCCACCACTAATTTATCTTGCCCAGTTCTAACTCCATTTTGCAATGGTATCCACTTGGCGTCACAACTTTTCAAAATTTCCTGCCTTTTCACTGGTCACATAGATATATGCATTGAATAATACTAATGTACGTAGTTACGCATTCTTAGTTATTTGCCTTTCATATTTTATCAATTTTTTTATTTGGGTTGAATTAATTTCTTAGGAGGTTGAGGTACTCATGTGACTCTTCTAATATTTGTTGGTAAGAGTCTGACGTTTTTTGCTCTGTGTTATCGATAACCAGGCAGAAATAGTGCAAAATATGGGTTTACGGAATTACAGTTTCTATCTTTATATGAGAAAATTTTCGGGTCGTCAAGTACCTCTTTGGAAAGAAAAAGGTGAAATCTGCTGTGCTCTGGTTTTGATTTCATTTAAAACAATATCTTTTGGATATAAAATTCCATATAAACAAAGACAATGCAATTACGATTTTTCATCTACTTTGTAACGCTTATCTTATTAAATATTAACATATTAAGTTATACACACTGAAAGGATTATTGTAATATATGATTGTTGAATTTTATTATAAAATATTTCTTACTTAAATATTCATAACTATATTCATTGGTTAGAAAAAAATATCAGATAGTAGTTGATCACACGCTGTACACAGTTTCAACCCCGTGTTTCATCAATGTCCGAAGCTCCCGCATAAAACGACCATAATCCAATACAATAACAAATTTGACTAGTGCCACTTGACAATATGGTGAATTAAAGCTGCTGCTAACGGATGGACGGATCCCTGCACAATAGGGCGGAAACCACCCCTGGGGTGATTGTGTTTGTCCACGTACAGTAACCACAAAAAGTGTAGCTCTATCTGATATTGTGAATTCACACTTTATTTCGAGAATAGTCGATTTTTAAAGCTTAATTCAGTGTTTTGAAACAACAGCTTGGGGTAGTTTAATGAGTCGTTACTGAAGCCAAATGCTGAAGCTAATGCAACATTCAGTAACTCACAATTCTAGGAATCGATACTTAAATGTTAATGTGTGACTAACGTTTTCTGTACTTACTGTACACACATTCATATGCTTCTTCGCAGAGACGCACACGTGTCGCCGCGAGCGCACGGCGTACGAACGCACAGATCTACATGCTTGCGCACTTGCGCACGGTCACAGTTACATACGTGTTTGCGCGGATGCGCTTCTCGATGCGCCCCGCGTATAGACTGGTCACGTGTGCCGGCACGTGACCCCCATAGATTTCCTATCGGAACCGAACCGAACACCTACCGAAGACTGTCGACGCGACGCGGCAAGGGTTCGTTTGCCCGGAAAAATAATATTGTTTTTCTATCTCGGTCTCCTTCACTCTCTCGGCAATTCGCCCATTTTGTCCATCTCTGACCATTTTCCATTTTGTTCGATGCAATGCAAAACATTTCGAAGATTTGCAAACTTTCTATTTAAAATTCGCTTATGGGAATTCTTGGGCCTGAAGGTTCGTACGCAGCTGTGACTATTAACCCCGGAAACTTTTATCAATTGCGTTTGTAGACCTGTACCCAGGAAAAGGGTTCGTCGAACGAGGCAACATATGCACGATGATGGATGGCTCCACGCACACGCATCCCTTACGACGAGTCGCAGGGTGGTACCATTGTAAGGGCATGCACGTTTACTTCGTACACGGTTTCCTTTGAAAGTGTACGGTTCAATCTTTGAGACCACACAGTGAGGGGATAGGTTCAGGAACAAGAAAATCCTGTTGGAGGGCACCCTTGTTACAATTACGTTTGCACGTTGTGCAGAAAGTTTTCTCTATTGTTTGGAAGCAGTTGATACGCATATAGCGTCCTTTATTAAAACGAGCGTGGAAAATGAGCAACTTTCATTTATCGGTATTTATTTGTAGCCACTATTACATTAATTGTACAACACAAAAAGCATTACGCATACAGAAGATTTGTCGACTCATCATTTGCGAATGTGTACGCTCATACTTTGAATTCATACCCTGTATACGCACCCTTGAAAATTAAAAAGAATAAGAAGTGCGCGTGACGCTTATTCGGCCGTCGTTACGCGAAATCAAAACTGGAATTGCGCACTTCCGTTCTTGTTCAATGTCACAAATCTCGCTGCGGTTCCTTTCCCATTCTTGCTGCGCAGCGGCGCGGCGGCCTCTGAGCGCTCGGCTACGCTGGCGAATTGATGGGGTACCATTAGCAGCAATCATTGCCATCTGTTCTGTCGGGAAATGTTCCAACGTCGTTCGCTCTTACGAAGTTATCTTCTCTTGACGCGTTACACACGTACAGAGAATGATGCAGTCTCTATGTCCAACGTCGTGGACAGTGCCTAACAACCATACTCTTAACGCAACCATATTCCTAGCAGCTTTCAACCGGCGTAAAAATTCCGATCAACTCCGCACGATATTATTTCGAATTAAGAAGAGTCGTTCCGCTTTGTATTCGAAGATAAATCACGAGGACTCGTGGCCCCTTTGTTCTACGAGTGAATGGGCCCCTAGGAGATGCGACGCGATCGACAGAGGATGACGAAGGTTGCTTCGCGCTGTCAAAATAACCCGTTCTTCTTTTTCTCTCGTCAAGCATCCTGCGGTGACCACCTCGCTGTAGCACAGTACAGCGACTGTAGCGTGGTGCTTCATTTAAAGCCATTTTGTTCTCTGCTCAGACGTCCGTGTATATTATTATTATAAATGTAGCATCTAGACACTTGTTAAGCATGAAATCTTCTTCTAAATCAGCACGATTTACATAGACATCTTCATCTAACTTCTAATTGTCTTTGCAATTATGCTAGTCTACTCGATTTATGGAAAATTATTCACCCTTCTATTAAATCTACGCGAATAAAAATATCTTACTCGTTCTAAACTCGTAGGATCTTCAACTATGATAACAGAGTAGATATGTTTTATTCGTCTGGATGTAACATGAAAAATACTTAT